GGATACAGTCAGGAGGAAGCAATGCAGCCTGTTCCACCCAACTTTAAATGTGGCTACTGACAATAAAAACGTTTGCTTTTATATATTTGTTGTTTGACGCATACTGAACCCTTTAGAGTTCCTAGAACACATACAGACTAAATAAAAAGCAGACCGATGAGCCACACCGTCACACTGGGTGACCAAAAGCACCAAATGCAGATTAATCCGCCGCTGAAAATAGTCCTAACACAAACGCACCATTTCCTCCTGTTTGGGAAATGTTTACTAAAAACTGCTGTTCTTAGAAAAATGAAATGACATATTTGTGATCCGCTTTTAAAGATTTACGTCTTGTTTTTAGTCTTTTCATGAGATTTGTTAATAGTTATAATATAGAATAACACAAACCTTATCCTTTGAATGCAGGGAGCCTATTGTAGAATATAAATATAAATGTTTGGTCGATATTGATTATATCAGTGCTTGATCAGGGATGAGGCTGTGCTCTTCAGGTACATAATAAGAAATAAAAACCTTGACAATTCTGCTATCTCGTATTCAGCGTGTTACGCGTAATATGGCATAAGCAACTAATATAGTACGTAGAAACAGTTATAGGTTTCAGGAAGGTGCAACTGTTTATTAGTGTGACACTAAATCACTGAGTATACCTCCAAATAAAGCTCATCTAAAACGTCTCAAACAGTAACCAGGAGACATGAAGGTCGAATTAAACAGTTTCTGAACACAGTATTTTGATTGTACCCAGTCTGATCACAGCCACCGTACACTCCATTGATATCTCCTAACAACCCAGAGGTCTCTGCGGTCCAATCAGGTCTCCACTTTCCCATAAGTGCCGTCAGGCGGTCGGTAGTGTTTGGGGAAGGCTTTCAGTTGCAGGGAGTTAAACGCGTACTTTCGGCATCCAACGTTCTTCACAGTGTTTTCTCGTCGGCAGCCCTCGCTGGGGAGACAGAACGGGGGTGGGAGGGGGAGGCGTGGGAGGGAGGGTGTTCACAGACAGAATGAGAGCAAAGAAATAGGAATGATGGTTGGTTGTGAATGATGCTTTTTAAATAGTTCCTCAACAGAAAAGTCTGCTGGGGGTTGAGAGTGTTTCTGATCAACAATCAATGAATGATAGATTCAGTAATCCATAAAGTTAAATAATTCAACCCACTTGTTATAATTGAATAACCAGCAGACAGAACGAGAGCTACTGAACTTGTTGTTGTTGTTGCAACTGCAACCGATTGCCAGTAGAGGTCAGTAAAGACTTACTCAAACTGCTTTACACTGAATGAGGAACACAACACTGGAAAAAAACACACACACACACACTTTGACAAACATGAAAGAAAAGCTGAGGGAAAGCACAGATAAAGTAAGCTGAGGAAAAAAGGAATAAAAAGGACTTTAAAGACCACAAACTACCACCGGAGTGCGTTTATGTTCTGCAGGTGGGTGCAGAAGACGTTTATTACAGCAGGAGTGTTGCGTTCAGGGACACACTGACTGGAGGTTTTCTTGGGCTTGTGGTACATTTAGAGCAACATGGGGCGCAGCAAGACTAAAGCTCTTGGATATTTAACTGCTGCTGAGGAAAAGCACTGATTGCCAAATGTGGAAGAGAAACAAAGACAGTTCAACGTCACAGATTCTCTGTTGTTTGCTGACCTGGGATCTGTCTGAGGAGGTGTTACTGTAACACCAAGAAGCACTAAGCCAATATGAGTCCAGATCTTTGTCAGATTTTAGAATGAAATACTAAAAAATATTATTATTATAAATAACCTTTCCTATACACTTTCTGTACAACAAATGAATCTAAAACTTTAAAATTTTAACTAAAAATTGAATATTGACCCAAAAAATCCACTGCATTGTCAGCACTAAAGATAACCGTCTCTCCAGAACTTTCCTTTAACACAATAACACTTTGCAGGAGGTAATTATGATCCCAGTGACACAATTATTCTCAATTAACATGTTAAATGTGACCATTAACAAATAACCTGTTCACATAATATCATATCTATTGTTAACAGGAGGGCTCAGAGGGTTAAAAGTACCTGCCAGTAGTTATTATGTCAACAGTTTTAGCACGAGAAGAGATTAAAGTAAAACAATTAACAGTCAGGATAAACAAAAACATATAAATCTGCATATTACAACAATATCACATGGACATATTGAGCTATGATGTAAAGTGACGACAGCATGACAGTTATGGCACAAGCATAATAAATCACATTGTATAGATTACTTTTTATACTCTGCTTTGGAATAACGTAAGACAATAGCAAACGTTAGCATTTAGGCAATACAAGCATTTTAAATACAATTTATGTACAATATAAATATATTCTCTGATATGCCTCGATTCTCAGAATAACAAAAACAAAGGAAAGAAAGAAAAAGAGATTCAGATGTTTCTCTTTAAAGGTCAATGATATAATGATTTCTTAATTCATATTTTTAGGAAGCACTTTACTGTAATTACACATATAAGTATGGGGAATTTATGATTAAGTGCATTAGTAATTGAAAATATTATTTCACTGGAACTTTTTATTTTTCAGATTTTCATATATTTTAATCATTGTACATAAAATAATTTCTGTTCCCTCACATCCCTGCTGCTCATTGATCATATAATCACATTAGCTGTATTTTTTAATAAATATATATATATATATATATATATTAAATAAACTCTAAGTTCAACATATAACTTAATTCTGTCTCACAGAGGTAGTTCTAAACTGACATAAGTAGTGAATAATAACTTAAAGGAGGAATTTGGGACACTTTCTTGATTGATGCCACTCTCACGTCTGTACAACAGCCGCCTAAACAGGGAACTTCTCTCTTAATAATAAAACCTGCCTTTCAGCACATGTACCGCTCACCAGTTAACACATTTCAGCTTGTTTGTTTAATCTGGACATAAACTGAAGTGTTAAAATGTTTTTTTTTTTACAGGGGTTTTGTGCCAGACAACTTCTAAGCTAACCAGCTGCTGGCTTTAGCTACACATTTACCTCACAGACATAAAAGTGGCACCAGTTTTTTTTCATCTAACTTTTGGCAAGAAAGCAAATAAATACCATCCTTTTTCAATAAGAGCATCTAATAATTAATAATTACTCTATTTTCAACTGTTTTTCAGGAAGTCTTGTGTAGCAGCGCTCAAGTGCTTGAGGTGTAAATGTCAATATTCACAAAATGTTTCTACTGACCATCACTAATAAATACAGACATTAGTATTGCAAACTCATTTAAGAATACTGAGACTTATTTACTGTATGTCTGATCATTATACTGTAGTATGTGTGTTTGACTGTTAAGGGTCACGAGAGCATGTTACACTCCCAAAGGAGGCTATTTTGGTCTGATCCAGTTCCATACTGGGTCGATCTCAAAGAGACGGAGCCTCCAAACTCCGAGGAGGTGACTGATGCTTTCGTTTAGTTTCACAGGCTAAGATATCGATTTATGAAATGCAGGTTTCCAATCTGCAAAGGAAGCTGAAAACTCTTGTTTCCAGTCAAATCACACGATACTGAAGACTATTGTCCATTTTTACTCCAAGGAAAGATTTCTTATATTTCCTAAACTGCCACACGTGACCATTTATATATAGTTAAAACCAAACCTATCCTGTTCCAGCTGTTTTCAAACAGTGTTTCAGTATTATACAGAGGTTCTTTTACCTTCTATTTATATACTTGGGCAGAAAATTTAGTTAAAAAATAATGCAGCTGATTCAGAAATATGTAAAATGATTTGTAAGCAAAAGCATCTTGAAAACAGTTTGGAGTTGGGGTGATATTAGAGCTTAAACAATCAGTCATGACCGTAAATTAATTAACAATTAGTGCAAATTTACTTTTTTCTTCGTAATATATGTAAATAGACTACATATCTTTGGGTTTTGGACTGTTGGAAGGTGTCATGTGTCATACTGGGCTCAAGATGTTTTTTTTAGACAAATTCATTACTTGAGAAAACAGTCGGAAGATCAATCATAAAAAAAATAATAGTTAGTTGCAGGTTAGTAAAGTGAATGGAAATTTCTCAAAACAAAATACACTTTTTTACGCTCATTTACAAGACTAATAAATAAATACACTAACATAAGAGTGGACTATATTCAGACAAAGACATCACATCTTTTCTGGCTTAATCTCTTTGCAAACACAGATCCTACAAACCTGAATTCACCTGACATAAACCTGACTGGAGCATTTGGCACAAGCATGGATACATTCCTTTCATTCATTCACCTTAACTACGAACAAAGTTAACTCATCGCATCGTCCGCCGAATAAAATCAGTGCCTCAACTCGACACGTCTCGGCTCTATAAAGCTAATTTTAACTGTTATAGCTGCAATCTGTACCAGTTTATGGTAAACACATAAATGCTCTAAAGGGTGTAGAACAGACAGCACTACACTGCATAATCAATCACATTTCCCCTGAATATCCTACAATCATACATTCCAACGTTAGCCAATTAGAAACTGCGTCCTTAAAAATACAAAGACTCAACTGTGTCAGCTGGTGAGGCGGAGCTCATCTCCACTGCACTCGGCATGAGAAGCTTCAGGAGCAGATGTGGGTCGAACCACTGGCTGACTGTATCTGACGCGCCACACTGGGACCAATTTAAAGAAGTGCCATCACTGGCTGCTACTGCCTCTAAGGCAGGTGCTCAATCTCAGGGAGTGAAAAGGTATTAAAACAGTGAATACATCAAACATGTCACTGCTTTTACAAATGAACTGAACCCATAAATAACACCTCGGCCAGGCCAGAGCAGCTCAAGGTTAAAAATAATGTGTTTTCAGGGGAAATGTGGAAAACGGCTCCACACGTCACCTTTAAACTTAAGTGAGTCACATGAATTGTTCTCTTCTAACACGCCTTTTTTATTTATTCATAAATGTGTTAATGACTAATTAAATGTAAACATAAATGTCTATATTTATTCCGACTGCAAGCTCCACAGAATTCACTTTAATTTTCTGTCTAAGAGGGATGAATATTTGTTCATATATATTTCTTTTACTGGTTTTGAACCCCCACACATGAGTTTTCACTTCTGGTTGAGCAGACCTGAACGAGCCCACACAGTCCTGACAAGAGGAGGAGTAATCACCTCTGTGGATTTAGGGCCTTCAAAGAAAAAGAGGAATTGAAGAATTTATTATTGGGTCATTTAACTGTCACTACTTGTTTGCTCTATTACACTTTTTATTTAATACGAGAACTTTATCTTCAGTTGGAGGATTGTTTTCCCTTTTTACTTGCCACCTTCCCATGACGAGGTCAAATATAATTTTTCTTACATAACATGCAGGAATTGATGGATAATGTTGTTTTCAGCTGCCTGTTTCTGCTACAACTTGCTACACAGGAAATGCACATACTGGCCTGCAATCAAACAGCTCCTACTGATTAGGAAACAAGTCATGCATGTTGTCACCGGGGGCTGATCCCTGAGCGCTGGTCTGTTCGTTTGCTCATGCAAGGAATGCATGGTATTTAAAATACTTTCGGCTAAATGAGTAGGGGGTGTTAAAGGCAAGAAATACTGTTTATGCACCACAGTTCTGATCGAATTGGAGCTGGTATAATCATCTTAGTCTGGTAGAAGTGTTGACATGAGTTCAGTTCATGTACCTCTGAGAAAACAAGGCTATTAAAGTTTTCAGACACTTCAATTTAGACTCAATTTATCTGCTATTCTGAGGTATGGGTAAACAGACAATTACCTAAATAGACTGATTGATTAGTGTGATGATTGTCATTCTTAACCCCGGTACTGTTGGTTAAAATGTCCCAATAAAGGCTAAAGGCTGGGGAATTTGAGTCCGAATAGGTATGTTGTAAACAGAATCAGTGATAATAACTGACCCAGATCTGCTGGAAAGTGCACAGGCTGAAGTAGAAGCAAAACAAAAAACTCCTTCTACTGTCTAGGAGAGCAGGAAGACAAATAAAAATGAGAAAATACTGCCTGAAAAAATATATATAAGCCAAAGTTAGCTTAAATAAAGGGTTTCCTCCGCTTTAGCTTGTAAGGTGCAAAAGCACATGGAAGACAATGGTGAATGCAACAAGCTAGCTGGTTTGTGCAAAGCCTAAATTAGAACTCACTTTCCTTTATAATGGCTACGATCAACAGTAACACTTCAGTGAAAGCAAGATTTGTACATAATCTGCTTATTTTCTATACATATTCACAACTCTGGTGTAATTTCTGGCCTGTGTGTCACAAACATACAAACTGTCACTTTGTATTTTCTATGTGTTGTGTTAAAACAATGAAGATTAACACAGAGCAGCCACACAGATGATAAAGGGTCATTAGAGGGCGCTATCCACCTAAAATGTGAATGCTGCTCGAGAGTCTGATCATTATTCTTATTCATTCTGTAAGTTGTTACGCTCATCCAGAACGGTTTCAGTGTCTTGACTGGGTTTGAACATTTGCAATACAGCAGTTAGCTTGACCACAATGTTTTATATCTGAACATTACTGACATGAAATGTTCACACTAAGCCAGCTTAATTTAAAAAAACATCTTTTTCTCCCCCGCTTTGGACTTTCTCTCGCGCGTTTTCTACAACTAAATCTGAGCTTTTCTTAAAGCTGCAGCCTCATGATTTAGAGTGAATGGGAGGTTTTAGGACATTAATGATGATGCTTATGCGTCAATCACGGCTAAGGCCGGAGATTTACTTGCTTTTAACTTCACGTTTGCGTGTGCATGATGGCTGACTTGATAATGGACGTGTTTGCGAAAAGTAAATAAATCTCTGGCTTAAGGGTTGTGTGGCAGTAAAGTTTGGAAGAGAACACGTTGTCACCTCCAACCCTCATTTTAAAATGTCAATATAGAAAATTGTTACTGCTAATGCGAGCAAAACATTCTTCAACACTTGCTGCTTGACATTAAAAGTGTGAAGCAGCAACGTGGGCTAGCTTTTGTTGTGAAGCAGTCACAGGATATATTTGTCACTGCGATCGGTGTCAACCAGGACTGAAATCTGACTACAACCTTAACCTGTATTTATTATTATAAGCCACACAGCTTTGGCTGTTTTATACTTGTTTGGTTGGTTGACAACAGAAACAGACCCAGCAGAGTAATCAGACTCTGTCCCACCACTGACTACATGTTGGTTGTGATACAGTTTTGTTGTTTGAGGAGCAAAAAACAATGAAAAAGAAGAGATTTAGTTTTTTACAATTAAGTTTCTGTGTGCACAGAGATCTTTAAGAAAATTACCTGAAAACCTAACACACGTGCGTTTTTAGATTCTTAGCCCAGCCTTACGTGTGATGCAGCTCTCAAAGTCCAAAGGTCGGGGCCTCATGAAGTAAATCATCGTATCAGTATTGAGACAAGATAACTGTATGTTTACGACACTTTTCCAGGCTAATCATGTGCAGTTTTTCAAAGCTGGAAACATTGTCCATTAACCAAAAAAAGAGGGCAGGGCTTGGCACTTGATTAATGGGGCATCGGTTGTGGTAAGCCCTTAGTCAGGGTGGGGCAGTGTGTACATACACACTCACAGGACAATGGCACAGTTTCAGAAACACCCTCAGGAGTCCGTGTGGAGTATTCCCACTCCTCCTCACAAACGAAGGCTCCTGGCAGAGAGCTGCTCGCCGGCCGCTCAGCTGCAGCGGAGTTTGGCCAGGAAATAGGCCACGCTGAGGAAGATCCACACCACCAGGAGGTTGGGGCTGAGGGCCAGCAGGGGCAGCGAGTACAGGAGGCTGGGGTCCAGCCGGAAGTCACGCACCGGCAGCAAGCCGCTCAGGTTCTTCTGGATCACCCCCTCCCTCGTCCCAATGCTGCCGAGTCACGGGAGGGGGGAGGAGGAGGAGGCGGGCACACAAGCGGGAGAGGCGCGGCGCCCCACACCGAGGCGCGGGAACAGGCGGCGCCACGGCCCGCCCACAGAACCCCCCCGCACCCACCGGACCACGGCCCCACACGAGTGCAGCAGGGGCGCCAGGAGGAGGAGGAGGAGCAAAAAAAGGTTGGAGGAAGGTGGAGGAGAAGAAAAAACGGAGGAAGGGAAGGGAAGAAATAAAAGGAAGAGGAGAAAGGAAAGAGATGAAGAAAAAGTATGAGGGCAATTAGGGAGAATAGAGATGAAGGAGGAAGGGCAGTGTTAGGTGGAAATAAGAAAGAAAATAAAAGATTGCAAGGAGGAAGCGGGGAAGGAAGAGGCCAGTGTGTGTCGCAAACAAAGCCAAAATAAACAGATGGCATGCACAGAGGTGAAATGGCAAATTAACAGGTGATACCGGTGAAAGAAGCCACAGCCACGATGACAGATAGCAGTTTCCATGGTGAGACATCAAAATAATGAAAGTAATAAAAATCATATGGTAGTGACAACAAATGGAAGTGAATCACAAACCAACCAGAAAGAAAAAAACAATCCCGCAAAAAATGTCAAACAAGCGGGAAACAGAGGAAGAGGAAAAGGAGAAAGAGAAAAAAGAGAAAATTAAGAAAGACGTTTTTCAGAAAGGGAAAGAAGATAAGAAAATACAGCAATGGCTCTCCATGTTTATATATTCTGAGACATGGGGCGAAGGAGGAGGAAGGAATGGAGGGAAAAATGGAGGGAAACCAGCACGAATGCACAGTGGAAAAACACCCTCTAAGTATAATTTTGAAGTAATTTGCAAAAAAATCTGTCTGCAAGCTAACGAGAAAGCTAGCACGCTGGTAGGAGCACTTGAGAAATGCTAACAAAATTCACATGCAGTGAGTACCTGGTGCAGGCTTAACTTCAAAATGTTAACATTTGAAGGGTGTGTTTTCTGTTCACATTCATTTTCAACTGATGTGTGGATAAGAGGGGAAAATGATAATGAAGGGGGAATTCGGAGGCAAGCGTTACAATATCCTCAAGCTTTTTCCAAACATGCATCACAGCTCAAATCCGTTCCAAACTGAAATAAATCAAACTGTCAAGAATGATCCAGAAGCTAATTTCATGCTCGTCGGCTGATGAGGCAGAAGGGGGGGAGGAAAAAAGGGACAGATATGAGGAGAGGAAAAAGAAGGGGAGGAAAAGGTGAAGAGATGTCGTATCATGCGAATATCGTGTGGGAGTGCAACTTTATTGAGTACAAACGAGACAGGTGTGATTACATCTTCTTACAACAGAATATTTACAACATAAAGTCACATAAAAACTCCACTGAGAACATAAAACTTTCTTTGACACAAAAAGGTACAAACACTTGAGGATAAACTTATGTTCTGTTTCCGAGAGCTGCAGAGGACGGTTTCCGCCCTCTAGAACAAAATCACATTTGCAGGAAGCTGCAACATTGTAGACCAAAATCAATAAAACTCTGTTGGGTGGATATAAATCCCTGTACACCTTAATTTGTCTGTCTGCTGTCTTTTATGGTGTCAGTTCTCTTGTTTCTGGTAGAAAATGTCTTTTTTTCAGACCAGAAAATTGTGTCAAACATGTTTTGGAAAGCATAAATGACGTGCTTTCTGGAAATGTTTTGCTTTCACATGCTGGCGATCAGTGTGTTTCCTTAGTGGCAACATAAAAGAAACAGATTTGAAACTTTTTTTTATTTTAAACGCTTGGGCAAAGTTACCAAAAAGACTCTGTTATGTTGAATATTTTTTCTATTATATTTCTGCGTAAGCTGTTAAACTGAAGCCTGTTTCTGCTTTTGTGTAATGTTTTTGGCATGCTGCAGGCCAAATTCCCATGCAGAAAAACAATAAAGACTGAACTGGACTGAAAAAATGGCACCAAAAGAGGTAAAGGGGCGAATATGTTTTGTAATTTGGGGGCACCGACCTTTTAAAATAAACAGGCAGCAATTCACTAAATCTTTCTTCATAACTTCTTAACAGGCGGACTCAGACATATCGTGGAAATGAACAAGGGAAAGAAAAAATAAAGCAGGGATGAAGGAAAAGAAAAGGTGACGACAGAATGTCAAGTGCTTCGATAAATCAAATAAAAGAAAAAAAACACTCTGTTGGCAACTCAGACTGAAACAGCGATGTGTAGCTTTAGAAAGGAAAGACACGACAGTGATGGACAGACGGATGTACAGACGGAACAGACTTAGACACAGGAAGACGTACAGACGGACCAACAAGCAACCAAAACACACGATCGAAGGAGGATCCTCTCACTTGAATATCAGTCAGGTAACCTCTCCAGACCCTTGTCACATTGGAGTCTCCAAAAGAGAAGCAACGAAATGTGAACTTTTTTTACAAGAGTCTGGCGAAGAAAGCAACCAACTGAATTTCAAAATATTCAAGTATCCCCTTTAAGGTGGACCAGCAACGCTAGACCAGTTTGGAAGCAGGCAATGTTTTTTCAAAATCACACATGGGCAAAAAACATCCTTTTCCACACATTTGTTTCCCTCTGACCTTTTTAAAGACTTTTCTCTGCGTTAAGCTGATACACACAGAGTACATGTTTAAAGAGCCTTTTTTACCTCAATATATAAATGAGTGATTTTATATCGCTTTTAAGTATTCTTTTTTATTGCAAAGAGTCAGTGGGTTTGTTCGACTCGTAAAGGACCTTTGGCAGGCAGTAAGAGAAACAAATATGCATCTGTAAGTTTCCAATCTGATAAAGCAAAGCTGGAATTTTTTTATTTTTTTTGCCCATGTGTGATTTTCAGTCACGTTCTTTTTTTGTCCTTTCAGGCACAGCGAGGGCGTCTTACCTGCGCATACAGTCGAGGGCCTGCGTGAAGACCTGCGGCGCCATGCCGTGCTCGTGCTGCAGGATCAGGCACTGCTCCAGGGTCACCGACATGGCCGTGCGGTCTTTGGCGCTTTTGCAGCTGGTGAAACGAACCCCGTTCAGCCGGCGACAGATCTGAAACGGAGAGGGAAGAAATATTTAAGCCACTGGCAGACTATGTCCCGTTGGTGGTCATCAAACCTACCAGCCTGATATATATCTCCACAATTTGATCACATTATGATTTCTACCTGTATTATATATAGCACCCTTCATAGGTGACTGTGCTCATTAGCTGATGTTTTTTAGCCGTTTTAAAGAGAAATAATATAAAATTCTATCCAGTGTAAAACGTCACCTCGGCCGCCTGCCAGAGGATGTCCACGTTCTTGTTTTTCCTGGCGTGGACGTTCTGCCCCAGAAACCTCAGTAGCTCTGGGAGACAAGTCTGAGAACGAGACCTCGGGAGGCCTGGTGGGTTGTTGGGGGGGGGGAGATGGGAGATATAGGGGAGGGGAAAGATCAGAGAGCAACGAAAACAGAAATTAAATGATTTGTTGGCTCTTATAGAAAGTGGTGGAAAAGGTATTGAGATCCTTTATTAAATAAAGTTCCACAATGTAAAAAATACTTAAGTAAAAGTACGGAAGTATTATCAGTTAAATGTACCATAAGTATCAAAAGCCTAAAAATGGGTTTGTGACTGATGTAGTTGAGTCCAGTGGTTCCCAACACAGAGGCCCCTCAAAAGGGTCACAAGTTAAATCTGAGGGGTTGTGAGATGATTAATGAGGAAGGAAAGAAGAAAAACAAAGTTCTGTTCCACAAATTTGTATTTATGTTTCTAATTTTGGACTGAAGTCTTTTTTTGTGAAATATTGTCTCTTTGGGCTTCTAATATTTGTTTAAATGAAACCATGTAAGAAGTTTAGAGGGGAAATTGTCTCTGGGAACCACTGGTTTAATTTTTAACAATGTGTTGCATTTTATAAGCTCATCATATGTTTTTTTAAATGTAAAATCATAATAAAACGAGTAACTAAAGCTGTCAAATAAATGTAGTAAAAAGCAGAATGTTTCCCTCTAAAATGTGGTGGAGTAGAAGTATGAACATAAAATGGAAACTAAAATGTTAATTTCTACCACTGAAGATATTTAACTTTGAAACTGTGCTAACCTGCTGAACTCTAGTACACTGTAGTACTTACAGTCTTCAGGCAGGACTTCTTTGAACTGTTCGTAGTATGAATTTAGCCTGGAAAGACTCTCCAGGTTAATGATCTCCTGCAGGGACGTGTCTCCAAACCTGAACAACACAGACAAACGCGCATTTATCATTTAATTGACAACCAGCCCGAATTCATCTGTTATCTGTCACACAAAATCTTGCTCAAACTGTGAACTTGTATCCTAGATATCAGAAAAAACTTCCCTCTTCTTTTCTTCTTCTTTCCCACTCACTCACTTCTCAGCCAGCGTCTGCTGCTCGTTGATGCCGACGTTGAAGTGCACCGGTTGGACCCTCAGCAGCATACCACTCTGGATCTCCCGTGGCAACGCGTCGAACATGGTTCCTGGCAGCGGGATGCGGACGTTGAAGCCGTCCCGGTTCCCCGTGATGATCGGCAGCATGTCGGGGGCGGAGCTCCCGGTGGCCTGGGTCACCTGGAGAAAGTTTATGAATATGAAGCCAAAGAAATTTGAAGAAAATAATGTTTTAGTCTTTAATAACTCCTAAACAAGTTCTGCTGTTACACATACAACACCTTCAAATTTTAAAGAACTGTATCTTTCTGTAATTCTGTATCTTTTTTCCTTTCTCACTTTATACTTTAACTGTTTAAAAATACTTAATATCAAGCCTTTCCTCTGTCTGCTATTTAGTGGGCAGGCATTTTGGCTCAAATAACTAATCGGTTATCAAAATTGATTCATTGTAGCAGGTCTAATAAAAAGATTGTTATCACACTGCATTTTCAATCTCAATAGAGACGTTAAAAAAAAGGGTAACAAAAGGTCTAAAGTTAATAAATGTCAACAATGAAATACAGCAGAATCAAAAATGACAAGAAACTAAATTAGGGCAATAAAACCCACAGAAGAAGAGAGAATTAAAACCATGATTAAAAGTTCCTACCTTAAAGGTGACGTTACGAAGATCCATGATGCCGACACTCATGTCCTCCAACATGGCCAACTCCTCTCCTGGGAACACACACACACACACGCGGTTAACGGTGACAATCTGTGGATGTCTAATATTGAAAGCAACCTGCCTCTGTGTGTGTTTGTGTGTCTGTGAGTGTGTGTGTGTGTACCGTAGGTGCTGAGCAGGGACTCAAACTGAGCCAACAGGCCGATGGTGTAGAGCTGTCGGAGGAATCCGTTGTCACGGAGACAGTTCCTCAGTTTGATAATGAAGCCACAGATGAGAGCAGTGAGCTGCAACACACACAAACAAACAAAACACACATGCATTAACATCAGATCTGCTTTTAACCCTCTGCAGCTGTTTATAGGCGGACTTCAGCTGATTCATGCATCAATAAATGTGACAAAATGATAAAGTCATTTTGTGTGTGAAGAATCACAGTCAACTGACAGCTTTTTAAAACTCGCTGTGCTGACTGAAAATATTACTTTTATATGATAATGGAGCTTATTTCAAACAAGACTTCAGTCATATGGAATTTAAACAAGTGAAATTTGCTCAATCATATGTTGCTTTCAGTTTTTTTACCCTCCTTTAATGACAATGATGTCCTCAGAAATCATCAGTCAGTCCGATGAGACACTAAAAGCTTTGTGACGGCGAGCCGGCCTTCTTGCTGTTGGACTAGTCAGTGATATTAGCTGGCTTTCTTTGTTGTGTTGTTGCACTTGTTTGATGTTTGTCTGTTAGCAAAGTTGTCGACTCGCTAGTTTCTGATCATAAGTAATGTAATCTTAACAAATGCCCTATTCCATGTCCATATTTACGAAATCTTTCACAGCATTGCGTTAAAGAATGAAAATGAATTTATCTTCAAACCCCGTAACAACTTTGTAACTTTGTTGTTGTCTAAATTTTATCCATTTGTGAGATGAAAGCTTCTTCATTAATGGCGTGCAGTTTTTTAACTGCACCGTGTCCTGTCATTTATATTTAGATGCAGTAAAGCTTTGCTGCTTCTGAGATTACATAAGTGAATGCATGTTGTTGGTTTCTGTGCATCCGTGTGTAAAGGAAATCCTGCGCAGCTCAGTGAGTGCTCTCTCACTATATTAATATGTTAACATGTCTGGTCAAACAGCAGGAGATGATCAGACGTGTTTTGTAGTTTATCTAAGACAAACATCTAAGAAGTGACGGGGCTATTCAAATGCAACAGTCCCAAACCCCCAACTATTTCGTTTTTTATCACACAAGACAAAGAAAATCAGCAAAACCTCCTATTTCACAAGCTGGAACTAAGAAATATTTAACATTTAAGCTTGAACTTAACCAGCAACTATTTTGATTATGTTTAATTTCCTGTGAGTGAGTAATTGTTTTAGCTCTAATTCTGAGTGTTTAGGCTCCTTTTGTACTTGCTGGAGTGCAATGTTACCAAAGTAAAAATACCCAAGTTTAAATTGATGTGATTAAACTTATGACCAGACTGAACCTGCTGAGTAAATTATTGTAACAGAGCCAAAACTACAAAAATAAGAGGCTGTAAAAATAACAAGTTGTAAGAAAAGAATCCACTATCTCGACTACCTCTGGGCGCACATCCTCTTTTTAACTTTGGCCCCAAAGACCCGAAGCATCTCTCGGGTTTGTGCCGGCAACACAGCAGAGTAGGAGTAAAGAAATTCCTTCTCTTTCCGTCTCACTTTCATTTATTTTTTCATCCTGCTGTCTTTCCTCGCTCTTTGTTTAATAGTCATATAAACATGGAAAAGCAACTTAGCACTAACCTTTCCCCCTTCCAGTTTTGTAATATTTTATTGATTCATGAGCTGTCTCTTGCTGTGAGTCACTCTGGGGTGAACACATTAGCTAAAAGCCTGTATGTACGAGTGTGAATGTGTGTGGGCGAATAGATGTCATGTTTGTGTGTGTGCTGACCGTCTGGCAGAAGACGACGTCGCGGCGGTACTGCAGCGACAGGTCCATGGCTATCGTCGGGGCGCTGTCCTGCATCAGCAGGAAGACCATGGACCTTTTGGCCGTGTCGCTCATCATGGCGACGCACTCTGTGAGCGTGGTGAGGAGAGGGTACAGCGCCTCGCTCCACTCGCCTAGGAAACACACGTACAGACAGAGAAAGTGTAGGTAGAGACAGATGAATGCATTATAGAGGTTAAACAAAGCACACAATCTAAACAAATTCCTCCTCTGCACCACACACACACAATACAATCCAACATTAGCTCAGTTAATATTTGGTATAAATACTGCCATATTAAGTGATCTTATAAGGTCTTTTAAGACAGAAACAGAAAACAGACGGAACAGAGAGACAACAGGGAAAGCAAAAGCATAGTCCCCTCAGTGAAGCTCCAGGACAAGTTGCGCCATATTTTCTTTATATTTTGGTTTTATCATATATTTCCCCACTAGACCTTTTCCATGAATACAACAAGCTACCAGTTCTAACAAACCATTTTAAAAAGAAGAAATGAAACCTTAAAAGATGCATTTAGGGGAAAAAAATATGTTGGCGCAGAATCAAAACCAAAAGTCTGTAAATCACTAAAACCCAAAACCAAACCCTAAACTAACTTTTCGCATTTGATTTTACTTTATCAGACTGGTCCTACAATGTGGTGTCCATTTTAATAGTAGTTTAAAACAAGACAAACATTGACTGGAGGTCATCGAGAATTCAAACTGTAGCTACACAACAAGGGTTTGAATGCATTATTTGATGATGGGGGGGGTGTTAATTTGCTCTTTAATAAGGAAAATAGCATCAAAATAATACACAGCAATCAAACAAAAATACCTAATATATACAAAGACCAATTCAATGGGCAATCTGAAGACTTATAACTTATTTTCTGCTCAAATCTTCATATGACAATCAAAGATTTACTGTTGAACTGGAGTCCTGGAGAGTAGGGGACAGAGGCAGAGAAGCATGGGTGGGACAGAAGCTCTTACCTGGGTATGCCTCCTCAGCACCGGGGCTTCCATCTGGAAGAGGGGATGGAGGTGCAACATGCATGATTAGCGGGCGCTGTAAGCCACATAGGCCAGCAGAGACACACATGGAAAACACTACAAACCAGGATCAAAGATCTATCCAAAAACCATTCAGCTTATATAAGAAGTTTTGCTCTGATGATTGAAATAAAGGCACATAATGGTGGTGCTTAAAATTCCAAATCAGTCTCGAGTCCTGCTAATAACAGAAAGACTAAGAGGCGAAGGAGCACATTACAGACCAACTGCTTTTACTAGCCAACCTGCAATAACAAAGGGGATAATAAAGTCCAACCTGATATTTTAGTTGTGTCATTAAAGAGCTCCAAAGCAGAGGCCCAAAATTCAAGATCCAAAGAGGCATGTTTAATCGTAAATGTCCTCGGTGGGTGTTTTCTGAACTGCCTCAGCTGTATGCTCCATTTCTAAGGTTAAAAGTTTGGATAGACATGTGACCCTGGTACAGTACAACATGTACAGTAAGCACAAAATCTCAGATATGACTGCTGGTAGAGGGGCTGAGGAGCCACGAAGCAGCAACAGCAGAACTTACACCCGCAAAGCTGAAGAGTAAAAAAAAAAAAAAGAAGCTGCTTCTAATTTTCTGCTTATGGCTACAACAATGCGGTAACATTGTGGACAGACCAAAAAGACAGGAACAAAGACTGCACACAAAACAAAAAGTGCTTCACATTAGATTTTCAAGTTTTTTATAGTTAGGGATGAGTAATTTTAAAAATACCTATTGTATTTTAGTCAGATGAGATAAATGTATGATATCTTAACACAATGTGACACCCATCAGTCTTGTCGAAGCTGTAACTCGAGTATCCCAAACTAAATAAAATGATTTGAATAAAAGAGAACGGGAGTGGTAACAGAAGAAGCAAAAACAAAAATATTAAATTAAATAAACCTACAGGATTCCTGTTCAGGGCTGGGAGGACGTGCAGAGGAGAGAGCAGCAAGAGAGGAAGAGGATGGTGGTGGTGATGATGATCGTGGAGGTGAGGACGATGATGATGATGATGATGGTAATGATGGAGTTGGACTTTCTGGGTTGATCCAGAAAGCTCGTGTTTTTCCATCACCTTTTCACAGCCATACACAGCGGTGTTAATTTATACTTTTAAATGTATTCAGTGTCAATTTGTGGTAAATATCAAGTTCACTATTCACTGTTATTTTTTTATAAATTAATTGTATATATTTGTCTGAATTAATATATTTGTTTGCTGAATGTCTGTGAAAACTGATAAAAGTTACAATTAATTTGTTCCCTTTTTAGTCTCCAACATCATTTATTTTGCTAATGTTAAAGGGGTCAACAAAGAGAACAAAAATAATTAACACAAATTAAAAATAAGGTGCAAGCAAAGTGAAATTGTAAGCATAATGTTAGTTTGTATGGCTGTTGTAAAATGTGACCATGAACTGCAAATAATACCTACGTTAGTGACTTGAGAGAACATTTTGGTCTATATAAAACTTATTTTCAGCCCAAAACAGTCAACTGCGATCTAGAAAAAATAAATAAATACATGTTCTCTCACATTAATGGCAAATGAAACAAAGGGCACTCCAAAGAAATCTCATGTAACAGAAGATTGCTACATGAGATTTCTGCCCAAACATGAATTATTTTTCACATTTCTACAATAAAATGTAAAAAAAACCAGCAAAGAACAAAGAAAAAAAGTATCATTTTGTGTGTGTTACCTTTCTTAGTGGCGCCTCCCTGCAGGTCAATCTGTGTACTGTCCTGACTGCTGATGCTGGGTCTCCTCTCCTTCTGAAGCAGCTTGTCAACACGCTGGATGATGCACTCCAGAGACTTATCCACATTCAGCCAAACTTTCTCCTGAAAGGACACAGACACGCGCCAATGTAGTCAATTTTTCAGAGCTAAGTAATAAATGGCTGTGGAGCTAAAAGAGAAATTACAGCAGGGAAGAGAACTTAGCCAGAGGGCAGATAATTTGCACGAGAGATGAGACGAATCGGATCAGTATGCAAATCAGTGAGCATGCCACAATTTTGCCTAACAAAGAATTATGTAATGCAAGCGAATGTAGAACTCTGACCTCATTACATAACCACAAACTCTCTCCTGAGGCTGCCTGGAAGTAAAGATATAATTTGTAATAATTTTGTTATTGTACATTTTCTGGGAATACAACTTTATAAATACAATAACCAGGCTAAATTTACACTGAACAATATTAATGAACTCAAATATTGTCATTTATAAATATACATCTTGTACAAAGTACAAAGATCCACTTACTAACACATCTCACAGTCTTCTTCAGCGATGTCTTTTGCTTATATTCACTAATTTATTGCTTGTATAAAAAATATTCATGTATTAAAAAAACAAAATCTTAAAATCTTAACCTTTATCTGGAATCTTAAGATACATTTGTTTATAATACCTTTCAGAGGGGAATCTGTGAAATGTTTAAGTCTTCTTCCCAACATTTTTAACATTTGTATTACAGACTATAGCCAAGAATCTTTAAATGAAAAAATTCAAAATGAACGACATGAAACTAATAAGTTTACATCTACTTTGTGTCATCAGAATGACATCAGATAGCACAAAAACTGATATAAATCCTTTTCAGCCAGTTTTGATGATTCCAACTAACTCATTAACTGACCCACTCCTCTTCATGCCAGTCAACATGCAGCGAGGATCGGCTGTTGCGACCGCTCCACTTGGCGAGCAGTGTGTCCTGGTCGTTACGGAGGACTACTTGTTCTGAGTCAGCGGAGGGAGACGCTTTGGAGGCGATGTACTCAGGCCGTGCTGCGTTCAGGGCCTGAATGGCTGAAGCCAGCAGCTTACAGTCGCATACGGTCACCAACTGACGAGTCTGAGATAGAGAGGAAAAGGATAATCTTTATATATCTAATGAGGAAGTCCAAAAAAACATTCCCAAACAGAAGTCCTTTTGTATGCTAAATGGTGTTAAAGCAAAATACCTTATCAGCCAGAATGGCAAGTGTCCTCTCCAGTCCGCTAGCAGATCGATCCTTGGCGGCTCGGGAAAGCCTCTCGGCATAGTAGCTGACCTGAGTCTTCAGTGTGTTGATGTGGGCGATGATCTCTTTGGCCCGGACGATGTCCTGGGGTATGTAGACGATGGACTGTGAGCTAGACAGTGCGCTGCTACAGAAAGCAGAGACATGTGGCTTTAGCAACATGTCTGTATCCGAACGTATGCTGACGACACTCTCTTATATCCTCATAATGATTACTGTTGACTCTTAGAGCCTCCATCTAAGGGCTATAGATTTTTGAATAGATTTAAAAATGAGGGGAAGAATTGTTATTTGACCTTTTATATGCCTTACAAATACTATTTGTTAATAACATAGCATTTGCATGCACATGCCTGTTCTCAACAATAATAGTGGCTTAGGAAAATGCTACAGGTAAACACAAAGACAACATTAGACTGACTTTAATAAACAGGACTGGTGGTGATACCGTTCACTTTAGAAATTCAGATAGAATTTTAGTTCTTGTCAATACTTTAAAGTCAGCATGTTTTTAATCGAAAACAGCTATGACTGAATTTACAGAATGAGCGGTATTGCAACAAACTTGGTGTATTGCGTTATAAAATATCTGGGTTTCATACGCAAGTGTGCTTGGTTGAGGACAGCATACATTTTAGTTTCTTTCAAACACAACACTGTTAATACCAAATGCATCACGTGTCATTATGTGTTGCCGTTTACACAAGCTATGTGATGTCTTATGAGAGCAAGTGTTTGCAAATCACATTCCTTCACCCTAAACCTGCTCACCAGTTCATCCACAATGCTTGGAAATCATTAGAATTTGTGTACAACTCAAAGAAACAGTGAAAGTATGTTTTTGTGGTGATACAAGGCAGTGAGAGGCAAAAAGTGTACGAACAAATGAAAACAAGCAAAGCAGTGCAACAACTCACCATCCCTCCTCATATACGCTGATCAAAAAAGTAACAAAAACAAAATTAAGAGGAAGCCATAGAACTGAACTGCAGAATTAATGCAATTGAAACAATGCATTCTTTTTTTTTTCAATGTAAAACTGACTTCAGGGCAGCCAAATCAAAATAGATACATCTTTCACACAAAATAATTTCAAATCTGTTTCAACTATTTCAAATAATATAAGTAAAATAATGAATAAAAAAGGAAGACGAGAGCAGATATCACTGTGATTGAGGGAAAAAACAAAACATGCAAATGTTTATCTTTTTTTCCCCAATGAGATGGCCATTTTTGGTCTGTTTTCAACTTACTGCTTCTTTGCCTCCTCAAACTTTTGGATGAGTTTCCTCAAACCGCTGTTTTTAAAACCTTGGCAGTGAGCCGCTGGAGCTCCGATTGTTACCACATCATATGTGTGTTCTGGATAGGGAGAGAACCAGAGGTGTTTCGAATGAATAATTTATGGGCTGATAAAGTGTGAGTGTTTGGGTATCATCGAGTGTTCATATGGTCATTCTTATGTCTCACCAAAGCCTAGCTCGTCCTGCACCCTCATCCTCTGAACGTGTAGGTTGGTTGGCATGAACTCAAGCTTCCTCTCTGCCTTCAGGTTACTGGCTTTGAACGATGGACCTGATGTGGAGTGGGAAGAAAGCGAGAGAAGAACGGGGCAAAATAATTGTATATGACAAACAGAACAGGAAACTTTGTTGGAGCTTGTTTTAAAAACTTACTGTATGTGATGGTCATTAAGAAACCTCTGTGAACACTAACCTCTGTAGTCGTTGAGGTCTGTCAGCGTTTCCTGGTATGCGAGTATTATGTTCTGGTACTGAGAAACAATCTGTCGCCGCAGATTCTCCCAACAGGGGGATAACTCTCCCAGCTCCTCCAGCTCACACACCCTGGAGACAGAAAATAGTTGTTAAGGGTTATATATATAGAGAGAGAAATATATAAGATTTAGAGCACTAATATAGCAAATATATAGTGGAGTTATGGAGTTATGGCTTCCTGAGCAGAGAATGACGTCACACCCCCTCTCCCTGTGTTGATTCCCGAGCATTTGTAAGTCCCTCTATGTGCAACTGTTGACTTTAAGGATAGTGAGTGAAACTGTTGTTATTCTCATCCACGCAGGTGAATTAAGATTTATTTCTACCAAACCAGAGTTGGGGATTGTTGGAACAGTGGAAAGACTAACAAAGACTGTTTTGTTTAGTTTTATTTTGTCTCTGTCCAGTTTGAATGAAATTACGATGATCTGAAAGGTAAAATTACCGGACTGTTTTACAATTATCTTCGAGGTACAGTAAAATTCCTGGCTTTGTCAATGGAGCCTGATGGGCAGTGGTGCCCAGTTGTTTTGTTCTGACATGCTCAAGTTAAAAGTTAGAGATGTGTGTATGTACCTGGCTGCGTCCTCCTCCAGCAGCAGTTTGACAAACTGTCGGGGAATGTTCAATGAAAGGACGCTCTCAGCCATTTGCTCCAGCACCCGTAGGTGGTTCCCACCAGTAGTTGGGAAGCGGTACATCCTAGACATTGTGCCTCCGAACACTGAAACCACAGAAAATTCAGTTGAATTCAGTTCAGTGGATTTGGTTGCTTTAATCAGACTTTTCAGTTCTTTTTTTTAGGTTTAGCATTAAGTTCATTTTAAATTATGTGATATTTGTTGATAGCTGTTCTTAATAAAGTTCTATTTTCTGTTTAGTTTTAGGAGTATGACATGCATGAACTGAACTGATGTATCAGGTTAGTTATAGCAATTTAACCATATAGAGTGATATAACTATCACACACAATAAGAAGAAATAGTCATAAAAAATGTGTTATAACATTAGAAAAAGATAAGCCAAACTAAATAAAATCAAACAGCAGAAACATATATGCAAGTAGTAAAACAAAAAAACTAAATGAGGAGAACATGATACCCTGGTTAGTTGTATTCTGTGACACTGCAGTTTTCACCTTTTGCCAGACGCTTAAACAAAAAGGATGCCTGCCTATAATGCACATTATTAATGTTACTGTAACCCTTGTGTTATTTTTGGATCGGCAAGAGATCTCCGAGGTAAGCAGATCCCTCCCTCTTAGTGGGTGACAATCAATACACAATACTTCATAATATGATTCACGGTCTGATGTATTGGTAAACATGGAGCCAGCCGGGTAAGAGAGGTGGAGGATGGGAAATGGAGGAAAACAGGTGAAGGGACACTTTATTTCCTGGATCATAAAAATGTTTGCTTTCATTAAATGATCAATATTTATGTCCTCATCTATTTCACTCATTCCCTAATTCTTTAACTTCTGGTCAATGTGGGATTATTGTATGGGTGTTGTTGAAGAGATCTTTTCATATTATGATGAAATAATATTTCCAAGGTGCAATATTGTACAGATTATGCAAAGAATGCTTCTTCTAACTTCATACTAGGCACAAAATAAGCCAGCAGTAAGTGAGATATTTTTATTGAAGACAGCTACATATGTAAAACAATTAAAAAAGCAGACAAGACTTAAAGCCACAGACTTTAGGATTCTTCTGAATTCTTCTGTGAAAGCATAAAAAGCTATGGATGCAAACTTAACTGAAACTTAATGAACTCATTCATGTAAATTCCATCGAAATATACTATTTTTGAAAAAGGAAAACACAAGACAATGGATCCATTAACTCACAAGGATGAAGGGAGGTGTCATACCTGAGCGCAGCAGGGTGTCTTTGCATAGCGAGGCGTACTTGATTCGGACTCCCATCGACTCGGTGAGGCTCTCATCAACAGGCAGCATTGTCTACAGGACACACAGGGAGTTAACAACCACCTCCACCTGCCTGTCCACTCTTTCAGGCCTACACTCACCTACGCCACACTCTAAACCATGCTGACAGTGCTCCCACACAAAGACAAATCCGCTACGATGAAGCATTTTACTGCCCTGTGAGGCCGTGTGACATGTTTATTATGACATAAAGCAGGTTAAGTGAGTTTTGCTGAATTATACAGCACTATACATAGACACAGACGAACAGGAAGCACCAGAGACACACATGAATAGTTTTCTTTTACATTGGGTTAGAGTGGCTTTCATTTGCTGGAAAACTGACTCACTATATAATAAATATCCAAATCAACGGCATACACATAAAATTTGAAATGAACTCACACCTACAATATAAAATACTTTTCATACCTTTTATGTAACAATGTAACTCCCTACATCACTTCCTTCCTTTATTCACAATGTTTGCATTATAAATCTTTAACCAAATGCTCCCAGAGGACCGTGTCCCTCCCAGCACCTCTTACCCGCCCGTTGATGCTGTCTGGCAGCCGGCCGACTGACATCCTCTGATCCGCTCTCTCCTCCATCTGCCAGGCAGCTATGGTGACGTTCCCCACCCGCTGGTTCTCCGCTGATCTGTCGAATGGAACACATTTACTTCCTTTTTTGTTTATATGAATGTATTACTGCTTTAACTAACAATTATCTATATTATCCATTAATCTGTAAATAGTTTTGAATTCATGGTTTAGTCTATAAAATACCAGATTAAAACTGTGAAAAACCCCCTGATGATATTCAATTTACAATTATATAAAGCAGAAAAACCTTACAAAAACCTTAACTTTAAAAAATCTACCAAAAATCTTATTTTACATCCTTTTATTCTTGCAAACTAAACTGTTTGTTTGCACAGGAATAATATTTAAAGCAAAGGAAGGAAGGAAGGTAGAACATATGTTTGTGTTGAATATTTCCTGTATATAAAAACAGATTTCCTGTATTTTTTTTTTTTAACATGTAGAGCATGTTGTACATTCTTTGGATCTTTAGCACCTGTGGTTGACAGTTTAATAGACCTAGGTTTAATCTTGGGGATCACAAATGTAAACCACCTTTTCTTATAGACCACTTTTTAAGATGCAAAAGTGTCAAGTAGGAAAAAACTGTTTATAGTATGACAAAGAACAGAATGATCTACTGAGAGAAACATCATCACCCCAGTATTAACATACTGTTGAACATACTGTTATTAAGTAGCTAAAAGACGTGGGTTACATCTCAGCAAGACTAGACTTTATGTATGACTGTATTAAATGAATAAACTTTACTTTTTAATACAGCAGGAAGAAGCTGGAGAGAGAGAGTGTGTGTGTGTGAATGTGTGTGTGTGTGTATGTTACCTTAGTTCCAGCTGTAATCTGTGGCTTTTCTCTTGCAACAACTCCTTCACAGGAAAAAGTGCTGAGCCCAACATATACATCTAAAGACACAATATGAATGATATGTTATTTCTTTATTTCTTCTTAACTCTAGAGAACAGAAGCTTAGACAGTGTTTGTCAGAATAAAAAGAGACGTTTAGTGATCAGTGCGCTGCATCGTACCGTGCCCTGCGAGCGGTCCTTGACGTCGTAGACGGCCAGTTTCACCTGCGTCTGCTGGTTGATGTTGGACTCCTGGAAGAAGGCGATGCTGCTGAGGAAGATGGGGTTACTGGTGCCCTGTGGACGGAGGCAGTGAATCAGCATGACCTCAATGACATGACCGGTTTCATTAACACTTGAGAAGATGATCAGCTTAAGCGACACGTCTTCCGGGTAAATGGTGATTGATGGTTTAAAAAGTTCCTTTGTACTCATCAAACTTCAGGAGAAAACTCTCATTTTGTTATTTTACAGGGTTTTGACATTTTAAATAATCTGTGTTTTAAATGTAGAATTAGAGGCAAAACAATCAGTCTTTGCCTGATGTGACAGTTGATGTCGTATCATAAGAGATGGACAGAGTCTAGAGAATCTGACCTCGATGACTTCAGTCTGGGCGTGTTTGGTCCAGAAGGCCTGCGGTGGTGTTGTGCAGCTCACTGCTACAAAGCTGTTGGGTTTTCGATCCAAAGCAGGAGTCAGCAGGTCTGTGCAGGCTGGATGCAAAACACACTAGTTGACACTAAATGAGCCAAGAGGCATCTGAAACCCTCCTAATCCTCTAATACATCACAGTTCTCTCTATCTATCTCACTATATAGCTTATTATTTTCACTTTTATAACAAATCGTCCAAAGATGATTCTTTTGAAAGACAATAAAATATGCACTATTATGTTCACGAATGACCAATGAATTATTGATGAGTTGCTCTGGATGGATTGATTTTGAATGTTACTCACCCACGCTGAACTCAATCACAGGCTCATCTGGGTCCTGACTGTTTCCTGGAAACAACCAGCGAGTCCCAACAAGCATTAGATATCACAAGAAAACAACCGCAGCACATCAAAAATATCAATTTCCAAACTGCATGAGACACCTAACTGCAATTTGGAGGTACTTTTACATTACTTTAGTATTTACATTTTATGCTATTTTGTACTTTAACTGAAGCAAACATTGCACTTTTTACAACAACATTATGCGATAACTTTAGTTTAATCTGTGCTACTGCTACTTCTTCCACTAGTTTTTCGAATTATGGTGTTGTGGTCGTCCTTTTTTTATACATTTAATTGAAAAGCAGAGCTTAAAAATGTATTTAGAAAACAATAATATCAAAACTGAGAATCCCTGAACACCCTGAACATGTTAATTCAGGGTGGAAGTGAGGTAAAACCAATGGACAGACCAGAGGGTAGTATGTTCTTCTGGTGTTTCTGCAGGCTTTACAAAGTTAAATTTAAGACTTTCTGTGATTTGTGTAGATAAAAACATCTCGTTCTAAGGTAACAAAAACACTTATTCTTATCTTCAGGTGATTATACACTGATGAATGTTATATGAATATTAAGAAATAGATCTTCCTAAATGTTACACACTGGACCTTTAACATTTTACAGTTTGACCTCTTTCCCTCTGAGGTCTAATAATCACTGCAGAAGCTAAAACAAACTGTAATCTCAACGGATTCTCAGTGTGATATGTTGTGTATGTATGACAGATGATGAGAAGCCCTCAGGCTTCATTATGGTCTGCTTTAGGGCAACTGTGGTTGAAGAGGCTATTGGCTCCCACACAAGTATAACACACTGCCAGCAGAGAGTTTGTGTCAGTGTTTAATTTTAGTTTTAGTGGTGCTGCAAGTGGCTAACATTTATGGCCTGCTGTATTTATACTGGGCATCTCTTGTGTTGCTGTGTTAAATATTGATTATTATGCTGTATTTATTAAGTGTATTGCTTACTGAGATTTATAGGCTGTACAGCACTTCTTGGATGTAGAGACACACACACACAAAACATGTTAGAAATGATCTAAAATAAAAAAACATATAAAAGATTCTATTAACAACATATTCAAATTAAGACGGTAGGGAAACAAACAAAAAGACAAAGAGAAATCATGAGTAGAGCTGAAATTATTAGTTGATTAATTAATCGGTCGATCGAGGAAATGATCTGCAACTACTCTGATATTTATAGATAGTTTTAGTTATTTTTAAGCTAGAAATCTGGTTTCAGCTTCTCTTTTAAGAGGATTTGCTGCTTTCCCATGTTTCATATCATTGTTAATGGAATCGGTTTGGGTTTTGGACTGTTATCCAAACAAAACAAGACCCTTGAAGACATTTTATACAGACCAAACAATCAATCAATGGGCAGATTAATTCATACTGGAAATGCTGGTAAATTGATGTTTCTCAATACAGCTTGTTTAATGTATAAATAATTTATTTTTGCATTTTGAAATCAAGTATTGTTTTTCATATGTCTGTTTTTATTTTTCAGAAAACCTCTGCGGAGAATCAACTTCCCCTCACCTGCGAGAGCCAAGCCGATCATCTCGTTGGACAGCTCGAATGTGTTGGCCCTGTACACCGACCACGGCCTCTGTATCCGGGAGCCGCGCTCTCTGCCCCCCGCCATGCCTGTCCGGGAAGAGCGGGCGACGGCAGGAGGCCTGAACACACACCCTCACACACACAGTCACGCACTCCCATGTGATGTGCCCCTCTTTCTGCGTGGATACACGGTTGCTCTAGAAAGCGGTTCACCTCTCTAAATGGAACGAGAGAAGAAGAGAGGGAGGGAGGTTGGATTAAAATAACATATTTTTAAATTAAATTTAACAGGTTTTCACATTGTTTCTTCAGGTCAACATTTGCTTAATTCCCTAAGTATCTTGAAATGTATCAAGAGACGTTAAACAACAGTGCCAGGCAGCAACACTTCCCTCCTCCTTCACTCTTTGGCATCAAAAATTCAGTATCAGTATGGCAGGAGTTAATTATTCTTTTTTGTATATTTGTACATTTAAATCATAAAGCAAAAGAAAATAAATCAGAAAAAAGAAGTATGATTTGCACAAATAGACAAAGAAAACCTGAGAGAAATCTAATCTAAAACATCAAACAAAAATATCATATTTAACACATTTTTTTGAGGTATTTATATGCTAGTTAGAGTGAAAGTGAAAGGCCCTGTTTATAGGAACTATACACAAAATGGATCATATATTAAAAGGCTTCAGTGGAATGAAAGTCAACATACAGTATTATTACTGTATTGGCAAGAAATAAAAATAAAACCAAGTGTGGCTCCAACCGCATATGAATTCCAATGAATTCACGTAGTCAGTGATGCTAATGTGCCATTTGAACGCCTACAACAGGAGCAACAGGGGAAACCTGAGGAGAACAGAAATAAGGAACAGGGTAAAGAAAGTGAGACAAGGTACAAAGCCAGCAAGAGACAAAAACACAAAGCAGACAAGAAAGAAAGTATCAACTGCAACTTACAAGGTCACGTAACCCAATCTTTACTCACATCTGCCACCTACACAGTCAGCAGCTTAAGTTCTGTTTCTCATTATTTTATGTTCTTATTCTGTGCTCATATTCTACACAAACCTCTGTGGAGCCCAACAGGGTATTGTTTTCATCATCTTTGCATCTTAAATGACAGAAAAAGGAATCACACTGTCGGACCTAGCAACATTTTTGACTAATGTAAAAGCTGCAGTAGCAGATAGAGATACAAAGTATGCTCAATATCTCAATCTTCACATGTTATGCACAAAGGAAAATAAACTGAGAGACACTGTGACAGAGCGGTGTAATCAGGGTTAAAGAGGTTAAAAACCCCTTGTACAACCACAGTATTTATCTATATATCACTCATGCTGCAAACGCATGTATGAATACAAAAATGTCCAGCAAAACACATCAGACTCTATAAAACAGGCAGTGGAGGACGGTCATTAACTAAGTCTTCAAACTGATAAATAAGTTCTAAAATCTGTCAGTAATGCATCCTGTGAGAGGACAGAAAGCAGCCTTTAACTCACCGCTGTGAGTATAATGTAACGTATACGGTAGATAAATAGAGAGAGACTGTAAAAGACAGAGGCATGCGTCTGTTGGCATGCTACAGAGCTGTGTCTGTGTGTGCACGTTTTGCTGTATATAAACATGCACATATATCAGTGTACAGTATGTGTTGGCGTATATGGGAAAGCAAGAGTGTTTATCTGTGTGTCAACCCACTTAAAAACCTACAAATTAGCATTTTTATGCTCGCTAGAAGTGCAAGAATCATCATATGTTGATGTTGCTAAGAGACTGTAGGTGTTTCCTTAGGTCCTCCAGGTTTTTAGATTTTTTTCTTCTCTTCTTCCTTTCCTTTATGTCCATCTGCCGCCTCTCAAGTGTTCTACATTCTCTTGCCCTCCTAGATCTGGGAGTTTATTGTCTTGTGCTCCCCAAATCTATCATTTATTTTTGCTGTTTCCTCCCCATTTTGTCTCTTTTGGGATCTGTTTCCCTGAAGGCTTTAGCCTCTGGATGAGCAGCTGTCCCATTCTTTGCCGTCTCTCCTGCTTTCGTTCCCGCTGTCCCATTTTGCTAAAGACCAATTAGCCTATTTGCAGCTACGCAGCAAGCGCAAGGGACAGTAGCTGGCTCAAATGGAGAGGCACCATGGTCTACTTAGACAATACACAAAAGGAGATCTCTGTGGTCTATTTTGGTAGAATTATGCTCTATTTATTGTAGAAAAATGTGTTTCAGTGATTCAGGTTTAGGTTAACATTACAGCATACGCCTCATGAGCTGTTGTAGAAAAACACAACGTAAATTCAGACAATTTACTTGAAACTAAACATCCAGACTGTTAAAAACTGGACTCTAAACTATATATCTTTTACAAATAGGCCCACAGAGTGATCTCATTTTAATTGTGGTTCTGGGTTAATAGTTGGCGGCCTACTTCCTGATATGTGGTCCAATGCTGATCTCTTGGCAATGCCTGATATGGCCCACTTTGGTCAGCTCAGATACACGTGCCCTACATCTGTTGATGCAAACATCTGGAGCACTACCTGAAGTCCTTTCTGGATGGAGGAGCATCTACCTGTTCGCATGAAAGTTTAGATTTCTCTACACGCAGGATCTGTGCAACTATTGTCTACTGATGCTTTAAAGTGCTTGTTCCTACAGGTCTACAAGTTGACATTTAATTAAATATTTATCTGGAACGTCGTATTCCTGTCACACCTGCACACAAACAGGAAAGATTTTGACTTGAGGCTCAATCTCTGTAAGTGTTGGATTCATATCAGACAGAGTAATGGAAACCTCCTTTGGCAGAACTGAAATGTATGCAGGGGATAGCAAAGTAGAGGACACATCATCAGGCGGAGGCAGAGGATGAATAAAAGAGACAAAGATGTAAAGACTGCAAGACGAGACGAGTAAGACTTCTAGATAACTGAGCAGGCGACATACCTGCCACCTCTCTGGAGGGAGTATCGAGTTGTTTGTGCATTATTCAATATTCACGGAACAACATGAGCTCTGACAGCGGGGTTGGAGACAAACACAAGAAGACACACACGTTTGTGATTAGATGGGAGGGGGGGCCTGCACAAACACCCATCAGCCTGTAGGGCTTTTTAGCTGAGCTGTCTGAGTGCTGTGCTGATGGGAAGAGTCACGGGGAAGTAAACAGAATAGTTTAGAGTGTACGCTTCGAATGAGGAAAAGAAACAGGTGAGCTAAAGTCAAAGGGACATGGGACAGTAACAAACAATAGTACAGCTGCAGTTGGGTCTGTTCCTGTAGATCAAAGGCTACACCAGTCAGTGCGGCTCCAGCTCTCTCTCACTATAGATTTATAAATCACATGACGTGTGGACAACACACACACACACACAGTCCAGATAAAAGACTGCAGCTCCTAGTCATTGTGGCTCTGCTTCATCTAATGGTGATACATCAGCAGCTTCCATAAGCTCCTGCTATAATACCACTCCTTATGCCAAAACATGCCGACAAATGTCGCAGGTTCAAACCCACAGTTATTCTCCTTTTAAAGCGCCCTTGGTCTCCAGTGTTGAGTTCCTGGCGGCAGGCTGATCGGATAGATTTAGTCCAACTTGCAGTTACAGATCCCCAGAGGGCCATATAATAGGAAAAGAATGGAAAACATGGACTGCACGGATAAAAAAAGCAATCAACATGGATTTGGATCAGTTCAAATTATCAATCTAATTCACTGAATGATTTAACCTCTAACTTTCAGGATAAAAAGGGTGGGCACTTCCCAACAAGTGCATCAGGTTATTAATGTTGATGGGAACAGAAAGTCTTATCAGCTAAAATAAGCGTACATGCATCATAATAGTTTCAATACATTAGCTGGTACAGTATGCCAATATATTTGCTGTATTACATTACTTTTCTGCTTTTATTCTGAAAACCAGATGCATATTTTAGAAATTTTGCATTAACACTTCCCTTGAATTATGTGCTCAGTGTATTAAGTAATGTTTTGCCGTCCTTGCTTATGGATTTCCAACTCACAACCACATACACACGTTTCTACCCCGTTCTGGTAGCTTTTTTATAAATTGCAGATAAGCAAACATGAATGTACTCAAGAAAATGACCAGACTAGGTACATCTCTGGTCTTTGTTACCAAACCTGGAAGAACATTTCCAGTCTCTCAGCCAACTGGAGTCACATTTTCCACTCTCAAAGCCAAAAAAACACCATGGTTTGCGAGGGCTTAAAACGAGCACTTGCTTCCAACTTTCCTTATCAAAAATAAGTTTCTACACATCATCCCATTTCCAAATCACATTCTTTGTTCACAGACATCAACCTCCTGATTTTATTTTAAGTTATTGGTCTGAGTTTTGTCTGTCAAACTTTTTATCACCCAGAAATGGTCAAACATGGTCAAATCACTATGAAACCATTCCTCTCTCCAGCAAGTTTCAATTAAACATGCCTCCTAACGCCTTACATTCAGCGCAAATCCCTTTGTGTATGACCTGCAACAGACGGCAGATTTAACACCTCAAATCAATTAAGTAGTTTGGCACGTTTGGGAATTTACTATCTTGCCAAAACAGTCCAGTGATGCCAAAAAATAAAAAAAAATATCACAAGCAGCAAACATGAGGAAGTGTAACTCCTCTCTGAATCCATGGCAGCACAGAAACTTCACTGAGGGGGAAAAGCTGCCATATAAGGGAGCTCCAAATTTAGCTTGGCGTGTCAGTGTATGGGTAGGTTTGTGAGTCACATGAATTGGGGCACACACACACACACACACGCACACGCACACACTCACGGTAAATCCGGGCCACAGCTCCTGACACATAAAACCCCAATCCAGGATTCACAAAGTGGATTTTGGCTTATTAGGGGTATAAACAGGCCTAAAGACTCATTAACAAAAGCAATTAGGGGGAGCTTTGAAGTAAGTTTTATTCTGAAATGCCGCAATTAAAAAAAACACTCTCAAGTTTCAATAATAAAGGATAATCTGTGTATCATGCTTTCACTAGCCCAATATGATAATTGCATTAAAATAGGTCACATTTTGCTCAGTTCTTCCACAATTTTTCAAACAGGGAAGTTAGATCAGCAGAGACGAGACAATGTAGGGATTGTAAAAGGCATCTGACCTCTCTAATCTCTTTGAGTATCTTGATGATTCATATCCCTTAAAGCTGAAAGGTTATATAAGTCAATAAACCATAATAATTGGGAAAAAAAGATTGAAATTGAGTCAAATTTAAAACATAGATTTGACCTGTTTTTTTCATCATATGTTATTAAATGAAAACAAAAAAACAGTAATTTAAAAGATTGCTGGATAAAGAGAACTGCTTGAACTTGAGGTGGCAGAAAATCCTCACATGGGTTGGCAAAACAATCTCCTCACAAGACTGATTTAGTATTTGTTGAATGATCTGGTGTTTAGGTTGGAGGACTGGTTGGACAGGCAATTTCAAATCATCAGCCCAGAGAGTTTCAAACAAGATTTATTTTGGCAGCACAAATCTGCAGCATGTTGTGAAATCCGATATTAAAGCTTTAGGAAGAGTAGCCATTAACGGCACTCAGGGAAACCGTAGCAACACAATGCATCAGAGGTTGTTAAATGTAAGTTGTGGGAAAGTTTTTAAGAAGTTCTTAATGGTGAAGGAGACGGGAGGAAGACTGGACCTGGTTTAAGGTTTGAAACCCTTATTGTTAGCCTTACAGGGAGCGCTCGTCTTCTCTGCTTGTGTATATGTTATGTGTAACTCTATGTGGGCGTGTTTGAAGCTTGTGTCTTAGTTTCAAGATAGACCGAGAGAAAGAGAGACAGAGTGCGTGAGAGTGAGAGTCCAGTTGACCATACATGGTGAAACCCCTTTTTACAGCTTCCTCTTTGCCAAGAGGCCTTTCACACACAGAAGACAAGGCATCACACCACACGTTTTTCTGTGTGTGTGTGTGTGTGTGTGTCGGGACACATCTCGTCTCAGACTGGACGATGCGTTCTTCTAAATTTGGTTCTTCCTTGACGCAGTTACACAATATCCAACAGCAGAAGGACAACTCCAAAACAAAATAAACACAACATCCCATAAGTGAATTCATCAACCAGAGGTGACTGATCAAAGCTGAAAAAATTGTGCAATTTCAAGCACATACTTGATTTTAAAAAGGCCGAGTTGCTTCTAGTTACTTTATCTATTGAAAGGTAAGATGAATTCCTAAAATGTGATCCTTCCCTTTACGTTCTCTTTAACCACATGCCACTGAGGTCCAGCTGACTGCAGTGTGAACAACAACAGAAAGAAGGGAAACGATTATTGTCTTTTTGATTATTTGATTAATTGTTTGGTCTATTAAACATTATTAAACAGTGGGAAAAAGGTTCCCAGAGTCCAATGATGTCTTCAAAATCTTGTTTTGTCTCACAAAACCCAAATATATTCAGTTTACAGTCATATAAAAGAGAGAAAAAGCAGCACACCCTCACAGTGGAGAAGCCAGCAGCAGTAAATGGTGGATAATTGTGTTTGAAAAACGACTTAAGCAGTTATTCAATTACCAAAATTGTTGATCGATTACTCTTCAGTTATTGAAGTTTGGTCACCAAGGGAAATTCCCATGGTTCCCCACCACTTCCCGCCGCTGCCACAAACTAACATGCACCAGTGTGGGACATTTATACGGCTGTTTCTTTTATGTGTGTATATAAAGTTAATATATTTTCTGTCTTTGGAATTTGGATCGTCCAATCAGTTCGGGCTGGGTAACGTATTGTTGAGCTGTGGGAGGTGTGAGACTACGTATTAAAGCTCCAAAAAGACACTTTTGTGTATCTTCTCAAAGTATTATTCCAGTCTTACGGCAGAAAGTAGATAAGATTTGAGGTTAAATCATTTTTAACACTTTAAATAGTAAATATGAAGAGTTAGCATACCACTATCAGCTAATCCCAGTTTAAGGAGAGAGTGCAGGATTTAGAGAAGTTTGTTTCTGAATCACCATTCAAAGGAATCCATCTCAGAAGGTTTTCTTCTTTTTCACTTCTTTATACAAAACAAAGCTATATTTTATTGGCTATAAGAAGTATGGTAGCATTCGACTTAAAAAGAGTTTAGTCTGTAAAGAAGAGAGTTTCCGGTACTACAAATCTGGTTTGGGATTTAAAGTACGGCTTAAAGAGATTAAAGCAGATATTCTGTCATTTGAATGCCTTTGGATAGTTCAAAACTGTATTTTACAATTTATTTATTTCATATAAAATCACAAACCATTTGTATGTCGTATGCCTGTTCCTAAATTTCATGGTGTTAGAGGATGTGGGCGAAACTCTAGCTATATATACATATAGATATATTTATTATTTTTTAAATAGAGGACCCTGATGTAGGTAGAACTGAAATCTGAAATTTGATAACAAAGGATTAAAAGACAGCAGGAAGTGAAAGGTTCAGCACACACACAGAAATCAGTAATGTGTCAGTGTACTTGGTACAAAGCCCTCGTCTCTTTATACCAACAAATCACTGCCTCTGCTCAGACTGACATGTAATACGTGATGAGACTGCACAGTGGCTCTCTGACCGTTATCCTGGGTTTCACTGCCAGTTCAGAGGAACCGTCAGCGAACACGACCGTCAAAATGTTCTCGTCATTCTTGCCTAATTGGTTCACAGTGCGTTCTGTTACAATGTGGAGCAATGATTCATCAAAACACTCAGTGTGTGATTATAGTAATGATTTGTTATCACCGTCTCTGACGCCTTTCAAGTTTTAGTTGTGAGCAATAGCCGTTCGAGCTAATAACAGATTTACTGTCATCGTAAGTCGCAAAATAATCTTTCCTTTAGTAAAAAATACTTAAAATGAAGTAAGTCGAGTAGGTTAGTTAGTAGAATATTAATAATAATAAATCAATTTTCTCTGATGAACTACAGCACCTAAACAAATTAAAGAAATCTGGCACATGTACCTGATGACTGTCCCAATCCCTGTATGTGTTTTGATGCAATGTTTCAAATGAAAATTAAAAAATGAACCTTTTCTATGACTAAAAAGATGAATCTGAAGGGAGAATGTAGCCTTGTGTGCTTCGTGGTTCAACTTTTTAATGCTGTTGAATGCAGAAATAAGGATGTATATCGAGTGACAAACCAGATGAACAAGTTGATTTGTGTTCACCCTCAACTGAAATAAAATATTATCACTAATCTGACAAGTTCCAATTTATTCTGCGACCACTGAGAATGTGCTTTTAGAAAACACCACTTGAGCACTTGTAATCATGTTATATTTACTCACAGTCTATTGATGGGATGAAGAAGACAAAGTAAGCTGATCCAGGTTCAGTGAGGATGATCTTCCAGACAGGGCAGCAAGTTCACAATCTGAAAAGACATCAAATACAGGGTTTTACACAGCTTATATCTGCAAACTGTGTACAAAATGTCAACATTTCTTGTCATTACGAGCTTGTTTTTGTTTGTTTCTCCATTTTATCGCTATAAGACCAAAAGTCCAGTCAGTCAGCATTTGTTGAGGGGCCATAATTGCTCACTTTCTAAACCACAGATAACAAAAATTAAGTTCTGTCGAAAACAGATTTGCCCCCATGTTGCACGATTGAGCTAATAATAGAGGTGTTCCCTGTCCCTGTGTGTGTGTGTGTGTGTGTGTGTGGACCCTGTGGGAGCGGCATTAGAATAAAGCATGAATAATTTCTTTAGAGGGACGGAGCAGCTGTAGCCCTTTTCACATGAAAATGAGCATCGCCCACACCCTCAAACACACAGAGCACACACACACACACA